CGAAAACAATGAATTAACCGATGATGAACATCATGATCAGCATAATCACGAGTATGAGAACAATGAGAACAAAGTGGGAGCTGTACAACAACTCTTACAAAACCTGCCGGCACCTTTAAGAAGATCCAACCGCGACACTTCCTTACTAGGATATCTCAATGATTATGTTCTGTATCTATGTGAGAAACTCCTACTTTCCATCAACGACTAGCCAAGTTGCTTCAAGGAAACAAAGGATTCTGAGGTATGAAGTCAATCATGCAGAGAAGAAATCGATTCTATCAATAAAAACAAGACATGGTTTCTGGTTGATAAACCACACGAGACAAATATCATCAGTCTCAAGTGGGTATTCAAAATCAAGAAAAACGCAGATGGTACAATTACCAAGTACAAGGCACGCCTTGTAGCTAAAGGTTATGTACAAGAAAGTGGTATATATTTTGACGAATTTTTCGCACCAGTTGCTCCATTGGAAACTATATGATTACTAATTGCCTTGGCAGCTTCTCACGGATGGAAGATTCATCACTTGGACGTGAAAACCGCGTTCTTACATGGTGAATTAAAGGAAGATGTGTATTGTCTCAGCCGGAAGGATTTGAAGTTAAAGGACAAGAACACAAGGTTTACAAGTTATCGAAGGCTTTGTATGGACTAAGACAAGCTCCACGAGCTTGGAACACAAAGTTAAATCAGATTCTGAACGGGATGAGATTTAATAGATGCTCAAAAGAAACCTAAGGAAGAGGGAGATGCTCTGTTGATAGTCGCCATTTACGTTGACGATTTGTTTGTCACAGGAAATACAATCGAGGTGATAAATGATTTCAAAGCTGGAATGTCAACAAAATTCGAGATGTCTGATCTCGGTAAGCTTACTTATTACCTCAGTATGGAGGTATATCAAGGAGAAGATGGCATTGAGATCAAACAGGAAGGGTACGCACGACGGATTCTAATCGAAGCAGGGCTGGAAACGTGTAATCCAACTCAAGTTCCAATGGAGTTCGGACTAAAGGTTTGAAAAGCTCAAGACGAAGCAGAGATAGATCCTACAAACTACAGAAGGAATGTAGGATGCTTACGATATCTATTACACACCAGACTAGATTTGGCATTCTCTGTTGGAGTTGCTAGCAGGTACATGCAGAGCCCTCGCAAATCGCATGGAGACATAATGAAGCAGATACTACGATATCTTAAAGGAATCGTTGCCTATGGATTGAAGTTTGAGCGTGGTGGTTCGAAGAAGATAACAGGTTTCAGTGACAGCAGTCACAACATAGACTAAGACGACGGAAGAAGTACCACGAGACACATCTTTTACTTCAGATCATCACCAATTACATGGTGTTCGCAGAAACAGGACACATTAGCATTGTCATCATGTGAAGCAGAGTTTATGGCAGCAACAGAGGCAGCTAAACAAACGATTTGGCTTCAGGACATACTTAGCGAAATTACAGGATGGAAGGCTAAGCAAATTGTCATTAAGATTGACAACAAATCCGCTATAGCGCTCACGAAGAACCCTGTTTTTCACGGGAAGAGCAAACACATTCACAAACGTTATCACTTCATACATGAATGTATCGAGTCGAGAGATACGTTGTTGATGTAGAACACATTCCCGAAACTGAACAAAAGGCGGATATCTTGACCAAAGCATTGGTGCGGATCAAGTTTAGAGAAATGAGAAGCCTAATCGGAGTTCAAGACATAACCAAGGAAATGTTGAAGCTTAAGAGGGAGAATATTGGATAAGCATCAACAATAACATGAAGTCTAAGATGCCTTTATCATATGTATTTAGGATTAGATAGACTTGATGTAATCCTAAGGGAATTAGGACTTAACTAATCCTATTAGGAGAAGGAATAACATAGTTATACTATGTCTATATATTAAGGTTGTTGGTGAGATGTGCTAAGCAACAAGATAAGAGCTTTGGTGTTTAATTTTGAAAGAATTTCTAAACGTAAATAAGAGAGTGATTCTTATATACAAAGTGTTCTTGTGATTCAAATCTTTTAAAGGTTTTGCTACATCCGCTTGATTTTGTGTATTTAATGTTAAAGTCATATAAAGTAGATATGAATCATGTGATTCTTCATCATCTCCTATATGGCTTTGTCATCTCCTTCATCATCTCCATCTCTTCCATCATCTCATTGTTGTCCAAATACTCTTCTTCTTAATTATAGTTCACAAACTCTGTATATACATAAACACGTGTAATCATCTTTTATGAAATATACAATCACATAAGTTCACATAATTATGCACCGATCCAACAGATTTGAATTTCCATTCTTGTCTGAAGATCCGGTTTTTCTTCTAATTTGTAATGACCTTTGGCCTGGGCACGGAGTGGATATCCGGAATTTTAGTGATATCCGTGATCCGCTCCGCCCCGTCCGAATCAACAAGTTTTTGATCCGTATTTGCTCCGTTATAAATCGGATATCCGGTATTCGTATATCCGTTAAAATCCGGATTTTTGACCGGATATCCGATCCGTTTCAAAAAATATTAAATAAATTATAAAATAATTAAAATATTTATAAAAATAATTAAAAATTCAAAAATTAATTCATATATTAAATTTTAAATTGCTCTTTTTAAAATTTATTAAAATTTTTGTATTAAAATAACTAATAAAATAAATATAAATTTACAAAATTATATATATAAATATTTTAACTATACATTCTATATGTAATTATTAATATATATATATGTATATAGGAGCGGATCGGATATCCGACTCTTAAAATTTTAATATTTGTGATTTGCTCCGTTTTTAACGGATATCAAAATTTAGTATTTGTTTTGCTCTATAAAGCTACGGATATCCGAATTTTTCGAATCGAATCGAAGCAAATAGCGAATCGAATCAAATATAACAGATAATTTACCCAGCCCTATGAACTTCGGTTCCTTGAGAGCACAAAATGACGTGTCAAAGGTCTTTCTAGAGCACCAAAAAGTGCATATACATTTTTGGTTAAAAAATGAAGTGCAAAATACATTCTCCCAAATCACGTGTATATGATTGTTCTCACTTTGTTCTTACTGTGATTTTTATTTTAACTTTGACTTTGGTTTTGCCAATATCAATAAGATATATAGTTCACAAATACCTCTAGCTATATAGTCTATATTATGTTGATAAGTTGATTTACCACAAGTGTTAGTGTGAGACGACGTACGTTGAGCTTTCTGAATTTTTTTTTTTTTTTTTTTTTACAGAACAGAAAAACGTTTTACATAGATAAGATAACAAGTTGGCCGATGATTAGTAAAACCTAAAAACTTAACTAAAACGACATTTTAAATTGTGGAAATTTGTCGGCTTCTGAATTTATCATCAATATCTAATACAACCGGTTCATAAATTATGGTTTATCACTTTCACAGATTAATGCCAACAGGCAACGTATGATCTTTCTATAACAGTGTGAGTTGTACAAAAAGTGACTCCACATTCATTTAACACATATTTCCATATATATATATATAAAGCTACATTAACTAAACAAACAATCATCAACTTGTATATTGGATTATAGTCCGTATTGGTTCAAACCTAACTTTGTGCTTTTTGTGTGTTATATATAGAAATATATTATTGACATTAATAGAAATTAGAAAGTATATTATTTTGTTCCTTATAAAATATTTTCGCAAAATACAAGCACAAACACTAAACGCAAACTTACTTTTGTTTTCTTTCACATTTCTCATTTACTACTTGCAAGGAGATTTTGATTAATAAACATTAAAAATTGCGACTTTTCTCCTTTTGATACCCGAGATAGAAAACCTCTAGAAAACTATGAATTCTTATTATGTGAAGGCATCTACAAATAATGAATAAAAAGTACTCGATCCCTAATTTTGACCTATATATACTATATTTTCAATACACAAAAAGAAGGCTGTGATTCATTCGATGAGGAAACATGTAAAAGAACACCATTATCATCGAAGAAAACCAAAACCAATAGAATCTTATTTAAACATTATGGTTTCCATTTGAAGAAAACACCACACATTATTGAAATTTCATTTCAAGAAAAGAAAACACCACTGTCATATGTAAACTTTAAAACCAAAAAAAAAAAAACCAATCGAATTTATTATATAAGCAATCAAACTTTAAACAACGCCCATATTTAGATCGGTCCTAATCTCCCTCGTTCAGGTCATGTGCGGAGGGTGCACTGATTGAGAAACTACAAGTACGGATTGGTGTACATTGTCCTACCTTCTCTTTTGGTTTTATGTACATTGTCCTTCTATTAACATACATTTGTGTTAATATCTATATATTTATTAGGGAACATAGATATTAACAGTATTTAAAACCCATGAGTGACGTCTCATATCTCCTCTCCACATCAACTTTCACTTTTCTTGCTCTACCAATGTAAAGTTATCACATTCGAACCAAACTATAAAAAATATCTGTCCCACTTCCGTTAAGACATCTAGGCTTGTTTTGTTTGTGTCTAGGCTTCGTGTATTATTACAGCGAGAATAATCTTGCATTGGAGCAATAGATGATTAGATTCCTATAGGGTTGCTCTAATAAACATTTTTTAATGTTTTATTCACGTGTCATAAAGAATAGTTCTATAGTAGCTAGTGATAACATTTATTTTAAATCTAGGGTTTTAATCGTTACAAAAAGATGAAAATGAGTTTTGGCTAATAAAGTACCTTTTCAAGCGTAACACAAGAGTTAAATCCGAGTCTAAGATAACTAAAACCACACACTTTACAATATGAAAGTATTTTAGATAATTTTATTCATTTTTATAACTGTTCGTAAATTGTAATGCAAGTTTGAGGTGTGACCGTGTGAGAAGATAGATTATTAAAGCATAGTTAAAAGCTTGAAATGCTAGAATCCTTCCCTCTAGTAACGAATCCAGTTTTATTATAGAATATCAAGTAGACCATATGTATAATAATTAACTACATCATAAATTCTAACAACACTGTTCGGTCAATATCGTCCGGAGGTGGCTTGGCCGGCAAGGTACCATGAGGGCTCCATCGTGAGCGAAACCGTACTCTTCCTCCGCCCGTTGTAGAAGCTTCTTGAACATCGGGTGTTCGAGAAACATTAATGGAACAACAAATCTTTGCGTTGGCTCATAATATCCATCAACAGCGATAACCGCAAAATGACCTTCCTTCACATCTTTTGGGACACAATCACGTCCGTATTCCTCGGGACAAGGTTTCTTGGCCGAGGAAAAGCCTTTGATCTGAACCAACTTCTCTACAACATTCTTGAGCTTCACAATTCCACCCATTTTCTTCTTTGACTGCTCAACTTTGATCATTCGTTGCCTGGTCATGATAACAAACTAAGTTTTCCTTTTCTTTTCTTTTTTTCTTTGTCGTTTTCGGGTTTCTTGGGAAAATATATGTTTCAGTGTAGACATGTTAAGGGGAGTATATATAAGGAGGAATGGTGCAAAGAGGATAAGAAAGAAGAGGAAGAAGTGAGAAGTAGAAGTGAGTAAGGGCGACCAAAGCATGTGGCTGAGTTGGTTTGCCTTTGAATTTTCCACGAAAGCGGTTTCCATTGTCAGTTTTAATTTTGATCTCTCTTATTTAGACAGTATGTACAATTTAACAATGAGTATGGAGGAAAACATGGTGTTCAAAAATACGGGCATATATGGCTGTATAATATATGTTGTACGGTGCATTTTTCTTTTCTATGTTATAAAGTAAACTATTGGCTGAAAAAAAAAAAAGTTGTATAGTATATACAAGGTTTATATATCGTATATATATATATATATATATATATAGAATTATCACATATACAGTGTGACTAATAAAAAAAAGAGAAATGATCCAAAATGACCCATAAAAAAAGTAAACATAGATCTTTATAAAAGAAAATTAAAGATAAAAAACATTAATTGACGTATTATTATTATTTTTATGTTTTCTCATTTAAAAAAATTGAAACGACATAAGTTGTTCAAAGTTTTTGGAAAGGCTATAGTTGCTATTTGTTCCTCTTTTCATTTGAAGATTGAACTGGTATATTGCTTTCATTATATATTTCTATTACTTGAGAGTTGAAACTATTTTCATTTTATGTCTTTGAGTTTTTACCACAACTATAGAAACTACTATTTAAGATTCTGTTTGGGACATATATACTGCAACTTTTAACATAGATCCGTCCTTGTAAGTTGTATTGTATGTATAAATCTTTAAGTGACAGATATGTGTTGAAAACGTTTTTAATAGTATGACAGTAAATTTTGCATCCATATAAAGGCTCGACGTTAGCATGGCTTAGCCTGTATAGTGGGGTATATTCACATGCTTATTAAAGTCCTTTTTTTCTTACAAATTTTACTTGAGTTGTGTGATCTCAATGCAATGGACGGCTGAAACAAAATTCAAACAAAAAATTTATAAATGTTAGAGTATTACTTTACACCAAATTTATGGTGAGTGGTGACCTGTCTGTTATTCTTGTGGTGAAAAATATGTAAAATGTGTTTTATACTATCATTTTTTATGATATTATTCTTACTAATATAAGTTTGATTGGGATTTCTGTAAAAATACAATATATAAGAGATTTGAATATAAATAATGACACATCAAAATTCACAACACAAACACAAACCAACAAACTACATATTTTGGTTAAATTTTAACATGGTAAACTATTACATAATCATTTTGAATATTTTGTACGATTAACAAAGATTATCATATAATGTTGAGCTACGGTCAACATGTCTAAACATATACAGAACGAACACATACATAATAGTTTACTTTTGATTCAGCTTCAAATTGGTCTGCCTCTGTTTTTTTTTCTTGTAATATTGATTTGCGTTGCAACGGACATGCTTAATACACTTTTCGGATGTAGGAACCTTGCGTTTAAAAATCTTGCTTTGCAAGGATCCAGTGATACGCCATAAGATCTTACAGTCAAACTCTTCTGAATCAAAATATCCCTAATTAATAAAAACCTAAACGAAAATAATTAGTTATACCTTTTCTCCATATTTTTCACGTTCAAGCAAGATTCCAGTGTTTATCTACACCAATCAAGAGTTCTACACGGCTACACCATTGAAGGTTTGAAATGACATTACCAAATATGCACAGTATTGTGTGTCCTTATGAACTGTGTAATAGTACTGTCCAAAGTCTTGGTCGGTAGCAAACCCTTAGTTACAAAAAAATATCGTACGTACTGCATTGTTATGAAAGATTTGTACATGTGATCAAAATGATCGATGATTTTCAATTCTAAAAAACAATATATACCACATATATTTGGATATTTAATGACCCGTTTGGATGTAATTAAGAATAACATTTCTTCGGTAAATAACTAAGGATCTTTCTCTTACGCACATAGAAGACTGTACCTTAAAGATAGTGAACATATGCATAAATGTATAAAATGATAAATCATTATCAATGAAGTTTAGAATCAATCGGATATTCGTCTACGGCTATAGCAAAAAAAAAATGAAATAAACTAAATTACGTGTAGCTTAATTAGTTTTCTGCAAAAAAAAATAATAATAATAATAAAAAAATAATTAGTTTTCTGCAGATAATATCTTCGCAATGTTTCGAAGTGTTTACTGAAACACATTTATTATAAGTGTTCTAAATATATATATATATATATATATATAAACTCGAAAGATCACTTATCTATATGAAAAAACCTAAAAATAAGAGAAATTGTAAAAGTGGGTAGAAATAAAACCGAGTCAAGAATCATAGACATCAGTGTCACAGGTAATTTTATTTTATGCCATTTTCATTTATGTTAATCTACTAAAAGTGATACTTGGTGAGATTTTGTTTAATAATCTAAAAAGATCTAATATTAGAAACAAATTAGTGGCATTATCTAGAATACAATTTATCCTTTTTTCTTTTTAAAATGCCGGATCCATATCGTATAGTGAACCCACAAGTCGACAAAACTGAAACAAAAATGACACAGTTCAATAATTATACATTCACACATTACACATACGTACTAATCACCTCGTACCAACTATAATCGTTTTTAGAAAGAAAAAAAAAGTTACCGTGAATAAAAACACTCGTCGGCATTTAACAATGAACCATGTTGCAATAGAAAAGTCATTGTCCAAAAAAGCTACTCGTGAACGTCAGTCCAAGGAGGAAACTTGTTGATATTATCCTACAACTTCATGACTATATTGTATATAGCAACGCCATCTTGACATAATGTGACCTAGTGACGAGACATATGATTGCATAAAATAACAATTCCACATTTGTATTATGTAATTATCATTTATATATGATTAAAAAAGTTCGGAAAAAGCGCATATAATGTCGTTAGCAGTCAACAGTCCAAATTTAATTCGAAAGCTATAGTTCAGTCACCCGCTAACTTCAGGATGGTCCGACACGTTCTTTAGTTTATTATCATTTCCTAGTTTTCAATATTTATGGATTTGCACTTTTTTGTTCAAACTCTATAGATATACATGAACTCGCATATACTTGCCGTTAATGATAATTTGGTAGGATATTTTGATTAAGAAAAAAGGTTGTTATACTTAACAAAAAGGGTTATCGACCTGTAAACAAAACAAAAATAATATCTAGATACTAATATCTAGATGCAAACCAGAATTTCGACTAAGGACATACTAAATATTTATTTTGGCGTTATCTAATGACTAATTTGTATTGGATCAACGGACATAAAAATGAATAGGTAATTAGGCAACTAGCATGACCAATGTTTTTCTTTTTGAAAAGTAGGAAAGAAAAAAACATTTTTGAACGAAACATTTTAGAAATTGCTTAGAATGAATTCGCATTGTATCTGACTATTTGGCATTGTTAAAATGAATTTTAATTATATTTATGGTCAATTTGTTTTTGAAAAATAACTTCCAAACCAAAGTAAGATATTTCCGTGTTTATAAATCCAAATGACACATAATACTATGAAATTAACCAAAACATGATTATGGTTTATTTAATTAACAGAAAAAAGCCAAAAGTTGTATATTGTCAAACCAAAACTAAATATGGTTTTAATGCGATAGCTATTTTGTTAAACAAAAAAAAACTAAAAAAATCAATAAAATCGAACTGAGACCAAATATATTGGAACTTTAGGTGAGAAAATATATTGAAAAATCAAAAAAGAAAGAAAAATAATCTATTTTTAGAAGCATCTGTTTGTATAAATTGAAAAACAAATCATATATATAATTAGCCAAATTTCTTTTCAATGAAGCTATCCACATCAGCAAATTTTTTTTATGGGCTTTTATTTTTCTAATTTTTATGGGCTTTTAGTTTGTACATAAATATTTAACAAACCACAAAATATAAATTATCTAATTTTTATATTTAAATGGGCTTTTACATATACATTTCTTGGATGTTCATATGATATAATTTAAAAGTAAAAAAAACAAACACTTATTTTACAAGCCACAAAAATATAAAGTATCTACAAATAAAAATTTTAGAATGCTATTTCGAATAAGAAATAAAGAAACTGTGAGAGATTGATGGTTAACTTATTTTTTAATCTCTTCAAAAATAAGCGACATATAAAAAATGAATAAAGCTATGGAAAAAAATGATATAGATACATACAACAACGTATAAGTATAAGATCGAGTTTTTTAAACAATTAACACATCACAATTTATATTTAAAATAACTTAACAATAGCTCTATATATTTTTAGGTGAATTAAAAAACTAAAAGAGCATTTAAAATTTAAAATGAACAGAACAAAAATTAAATAGATAAACATAATAGTAATATAAAAATATGATTCAATAAATAAAGAGATTATGTGAGATTGATATTGAATTTCTTATGTTGATCTTGCTCAAAATAAGTGACCTAAAAAAAGCCAACTGAATAAAGATATTCGGTGAATAGATATAGATATATTCGATAACGTATAAGTATGAAAGTGGTTTTTTAACAATTACTACATTACAATTTCTATTTAGAAAAACAACTTTACAATAGATTTACATATTTTAGAAAAAAATTAAAAAAAAATTAAAAATTAAAAAATAAAACCAAAAATTATGAAAAAGTAAATATAATAATAATATAAATATATATAATTAGAAATTTTTAAAACTGAATAAACAAATAGCATCACAAATTCCTGTCGAAATACAAATTCAGAGTACTATTTCAAATAAAAAAAGAAAAAGAGTAAATGAGACTAGTGGTGAATTAACTTTGCAGATTTCACTAAAAATAAGTTAAATAATAAAAGAAAAGCTAACTAAATAGAGATATTTAATGAAAAATATAAATATTTATAACA